TTGATATATACTTTGTTAGATCAAAATATGTAATATTAACACTTCACTGTCGTTTTACTCCAAGTTAAATGCCACCTTTTGGCTTGTCCTAAGTTCCCACTTCTGTTTGTTTCACAACCAATGTTTCAAACTTTTGTCGAAGTCACAAAAACGGATACACCTTCCTAACAAAGTCAATGTAGTTTTATCACTTTAATAAAGTATTCAGTTTTTACATTTTGCAGTTGAGTAAAACTTTACACTTGCTAATTATTTCATGCTGCATTTTGTTGTAATTTTAACCACTTATGTTACAAAGTTAATACTTTCCAATTATAAAACTTCTTCTCTGGAGTTGGTTTTCCATACTCATCACAGAGATCGCAGCTTTGAGATTAGTGTCAAAATTAATTTAATTTAAAGTTTATTATGGAATCTCATGACCTGATTGACTACTTAATAGATATAGTACTCAGTCATCACGCTTCAAAGACTATATAATCTGCTACTAATCTCATTTGTCCATGTTCACTAGAATTACTGCTATTGCACTTCTCTCTACATTAAAAGATGCCATGAAAAATCTTTTTACTTGTCCCCTTGTGTGAAGTTTTCCTAATCACTCTCCAAAACAACATGATATTTTGGTTGAAACAAATTAACATCCTTGCTTAAATAGATAAAGTATTTTTGCTTAAAACTCCTTTTTTCTCTTCTCCTTCTTTCTGTATTTTCTTTATGCATCAAGAATATTTCAGAAGACACATCTTCAAAATAACAAAAAAAAGGTTGCTTAAGTAATGGTTTTCCAAGTTACATTAAGTAATGGTGTAAATGTTTACGATAGAAAAGTTCAACATCTTATATTTGGTTTGACGCACAACATTAGCAGCTTTAGGATTTATTGTCAATTTTTATTTAGGTTTCAGTTTATTTTAAAATCTTAGAACAATAATGAGTACTTAATAGGATGTATAGTTCTCATGCATATCATGTTCATAGAATGTAGTCTGGTGCTAAGATATTGTTTATGCTCAGTACTAATACAAAATTACATTTCTAAAGTAAAATATGTTATGAAAAGCTTTCACAAATCTGCTTGTATGCATATTTTTACTACTTTGAAAAGGTTAGCAAACATCAGAATCTATATCTGGGAGCAAAAATTTAATTTGCAAAAAACTTTGAGAGTATTCTACAATTTACACATGCTTTCTGCTTTTCTTTATTTAGGAAAAAAACATTTTTCACATTAACATGTTGATACACATTAGAAGTTCCCCTTTCTCTGAAATCCCCAACAATTGCCACAACAAAACAGATGACATATACTAGCTAGAAGGAAAATAACACCCCCTACATCATACTTAATCGGAGTTACAGGGCAGTGAGGGCACCGTTTCCTGTTTCGTCAACACTGTTTCCCGTTTTCCTAAACGCCACTCTAGTTCTCTTAACTCTCTTAGCAGCTCTTTCAGGGAGTGAATTTTCATCTCTACCCTTACTTGAATATGAAGATTTAGATGCTATGCTTGGTTTTGTAAGCCCGTAACGGTTTAGAAAAGTGTTATAAGCCAAAACCGCTTCCTCATCTGTGGCATCCGGGGGCGGAGGGAGATTTATTTATTTAAGTTGTAAAGGAGGAAAGAGCACAAAGTTGTTCTTTCTCGGGATATATGTGCTTGTTGAAGCAGCAAACTTCAGAGACTGTCCAGCCTCAAGTTCTACAGGTAAGTCCTTCTTCAGTCTCTCATTTGCAACAAATGTACCATGTGCAGATCCTAAATCAATCACATATATGCTTCCATTTTTGTGTGGAACAACAGCAGCATGCTGCCGTGAGAAAGACTGATGATCAAGAACTATATCACATGTATGAAACTGGTGCACGAATATGTCTACACTTATCGAGATTTATCTGATCGAGCACTTCACCATGCTTGACGACTTCAGATAATAAACCCCAGGTCGGGGCTCAATGGCCCAATCAGGTGGGTACCATGTCGATTGGCCTCCTCCGATCACATGCTGATTTGGCACTACAGGTAGTAGCAGATTAGTCTCTTCTGTGTTTTGTTGATTTGAGTGTTGAGGTTGCTGGTAAGATATTTGGGATTGAGAACACGCTGCTAGAGATTGAATAACTGGTTTTGTAGCTGGGTGTGTATTTGTCTGGGAGGCTGATGAAGTTACGAACGTGTATACTGTACAGCCGGTGGCAAAATTGTAATTTTTGTGAAAATCGCGGATTCTCCTAAATGAGCATTTATGCAACTTTGATGAGCATCAATCCTGTTCTTTTGAGTATTAGGAGCCTAACGGTGAGAATCATTGATCTCTGCTTCAAACCTTATATATCACTTTTGTTTTATTATTTTTTCGTTTAGTACGATACATTTGAAATGTTCAACATTTTAAAATGAGCATACATAACTTACAAGTTAGTATCAAATAACTAAAAGGTTCATTTGTGTGTGCTCATTCTTTTTGGGCGTTATACTCATTTGAGTTTAACATAAAACTCATTTCATTTTAAATGAGTATTAAGCAAATATCAAATGAGTATACATAAATTACAAAATGAGCAATCATAAAACTCATTCGAAATGTCTACTATGCTCATAATTTCATTTTGTATAAAAAATGTGGCAGCCCATGTAGCAGGCCAGTAATTAGCAGAGACGGAAAAATAGAGTGTGAAGAATAGGAATCGCTCGCAGGGGTAGAGCCATCTCTGCGTCGGCTAAGAATCTCAGTCGTGACTCGTGAGTTGCACTTGGAAGCTTGGCTATCGATGATCTGCGTTCGTGAGTTGCACCAGACTTTCGATCTGCCGTCCTTCGTCGTCTTCGTTGGTGAGTTGCAGGGCTGAATCGCGAGTTGCAGACCTGAATCGCGGAGGTTTAATTACAAAAAAAAACCAGTTGTACGGTGAGCACCGTACAGTGTATTTTACCATGAAGTTACCAAGTGAGAAGGGTCAAATCGATCAAGACCTGTTCTCCCATACATTTCAGATTATTATCTCTCTTCACTCTTCGTGGACAAATTCTGCCTCCTCCCCGAAATGTTAGATAGTTTACAAAATGCCCCTTAGTATTGCATTAACCTCACTACATTACCAATAAATAACAAATTTAACCGTGTATTGAATAGAGGCGAGGCGGAGAGAGACAGACAATTCATGTTTTCTCAGCCAAGATTTATTTGTTATTTATATTTTTTTCCTGATATGTTTATTGGATCGGGGACATCCGATAAAATATTTCCTGCTTTTATAAATCATTTTGCCACACAATTTTAATCTCCTTTGGATACTTTATACGAAGAAGTTCATGATATGATTAATATCATTAGGATGTTTTCAAAAAGGAAAATAACTTAAATGAATCACACGGATATCGGCCAACTACTTTTTTCTTATTGGAATATCTCAGTTTTACAATAATAATCTGTGTTACTTCCATTTCTTTTCTTGCACTTAACTTAAAAGTAGTATAAAGGCACATTCTCATTCCCTCCATTTCTTAATTCTTAATATCATAGTAATATCATATCCATTTTTTAACATTCCCTCCGTCCCAATTGGTTGTCTTACTTTCCTTTTTAGTTGCTCCAAAATGAATGTCATATTTCATTCTTTGGCAAGAAATATGTAGTTCTTATCATTTCACTTTATTCTACTCAATTATCAACTTTTATTTTTCAGCCAATATGAGACGAAAGTAGTATCAAATAGTTTAAATATACACAAATTCGGCATGTAAATAGAGTATTGTTTTTTGTAGATTATATGGTACCCATAAGGTACCATACATTTGTCCACATAGACCAATGAGAATGTAGCAGTTGAATTATTTAAATCTAAATTAAAAATGGTAAAGTGGTGTGATCCAATCAAATGAATGGTAGATACGGTACCCCATTTTTTAGAAGGGTACCGGAGTTGTCACCATTCTTTATAATAAATAAACATGTGTACTATCTAGATCTATACATTGGGCAATTTGGGGAAAAAAGTAAAATAAAAAATATCTCCGAAACCGGGACCATCGGTCTACCAGACGCAATTAGGGAACCTTTTAAGAGGGCCGGTCCAGGGTCTCCCCTTTTTTGGCAAAGACCAGCCGGTCTCAGCCAAGAACTGGGACTGGATCAGACCGGGTCCATGCCTTCACTATTTACACAAATTAATGTGTCCAGCCCTCACTATTTACACAAATTAATTTGTCCAGCTCATTTTAAATGGACAGATCACAGATGACATGCATGAATCATGATGCATGGGTGAAATATTTTTCAGTCGCCAAAATGTTTTAGGCAAATGTACGAAGTTAACACATTCAGAGCCCAGTTGATACTCTTTTTTCGGCTTATCGAGCTTATTAGCCAGCTTTTTCAAACACAAAAACTTTTTATTTCGCACGGTGAATTTTGTAAAGGTTGGAGTTACTTTTCTGGCTGTATTGGCTGAAGTTATTGTAGAGAATCATTTTAGCTATTTTTCATATAACTTTTATTTAATTTATTAATAACAAATATTTTAAATATAATTTTTTTCAAGAACCAGCAGAATCAGCCAATACAGCGAATTTCATAATTTTCAGCATAATCAGTCAATTCAAATTTTAACGTTGCCAAACAGGCTCTCAATTATCCTATACGCCAATTCTAAATAAAACCTCCTGTGTGCATGTGACTGATGTAACAACCCTTTCAATAGTTATCCTATACGCCAGACAGAGAACCGTAAAGACTTCTATTGGAGCGACTTATGTTGGGTCGGGTGTTGCAAACTATCTAAAGAACAATGGGCATTGTTCTCATAATACTCTTTGAAAAAGTGGCCCTCTCATCTATTGAACAATCGGTATATTTTGCATTGTACTCTAATTTTTTTCCCACCTTATACTCATCAGTTCACATGTTACGATGCACATCAAACCATTTTCAGAAACTAATTGCAAAGTTTGACTGGTCGATGGAAATAACTGTTGCAGCAGATTCAAAATCTGCATTAACACTGATTAAACCCAAAGTTGTCAAGCATAATACTACGGAGTATCATATATAGAAATTTTAGAATGCCTCCGTGATCTATCATCAATCTGAACTACTTTCCAGGTCACCCGATGATGGGTTTCAAACAAAATATGCTTTGGTGTCAGCCAACACAACGAACTGGCCATTACATAATAAGGAAAAAAGAATGCATTGAAGTTTTAATCAAAATTTGGATGAAACAAACAAACAGTATGGGTAACAGTTACCTCAGATCCAATCTCTTCAGCTATATGCTCGTGTTTCGCAATGTGACTAAGCAACTTGAATAAAAAGTAGATTTATATAGCTCAACGATAACTAATGTGAAGGAAATAATATAGAAGTGAAATCTAGCAAGGAGCTGCTTTCTGCAAAATCAAGTGAAAAGAATGAAACTCAAAACCAAGAAGTTTTGAATATTACCCTATTCACACCATCCAATGTATACATCTCTATAAGAGACATTATGCCGCAGTTTTCTTGTTCCTGAAGCTCTCCTTCAGCGATGCAAATTTCTTTTTACACTGGTTCACAGTTTTCCCGGGAACAGCAGCTGCAACCCGTTCCCACCGTTGGCTAACGTCCTTGGAAAAGGTTTTGAGAGCTTGAACCAATGCTCGTTCTTGAACAGCCGACCATACATCTCCTTCAGTCACATTTGCTGCGGCAACATGGTCCTCAACAGGGATTTGGCAGTCATTGGTGCTTTGGCTGATAGGATTTGCTGGTAGCTTGCTTTCATCATTCTGGTCGTTGTTTGAAATTGTTCCCTCTACTGCTACTTCCTCCCTCGTTGAAAGAGGAGATGCAATTGTTGGCGCAGGTTTTCTCCTCTCAAGGAAGGAGTCAAAAGCTTTAGCAGAGTCTGGTTTCTGGAGAAGAACTGTTTTTGTTGCCTTCAGAATCTCCTCAACTGTCCTTCCGGTACCAATGTATTCTGAGATAACTTCCCATCTGCGGGATGTTCCTTTAGGATACTTCTGCACTCCTTTTCTCAAAAGATCAACTTCTTCTTTGCTCCATTCTCTCTCACTTCTCTCACTGTTGCAGAACGGGTTCTGTCCATTAGTCACTGAGTAAGTGCTGCCGCCACCATTTTGTTGTATGCTGCTCTTCTCATTTTGCTTCCCCTCCTCCTTAGTGTTCTGATCATGTCCGAGTGCCTTCCTGAGAAGTTCTGCCTTTGCAATCCCTTCTTTTCCCTCAATCCCATCACACAAGTTCTTCAGCTGATCAATATTAAGGGACACACATAGATTTTCCACCTCATCATTTGTAAGGCCAAGTAAATGCTCTGTCAATATGGGTGCTGAGATTGTGCGCAAACGGGTCCGTTCTTTGCGCAACAGTTTCTTCTCTTTCTCTTTCAACTTCTTCTGCTGCTGAGCAGCTTCCGCAGCACATCTTTCCTCTTCCTCTTTCCTGCGTCTCTCCTCTTCTGCAATTCTAGCTGCTTCTTCCTCCTGCATTTTCTTTGCTTGAATCTTGGCAAGCTTTTTCTTCTGCTTCTCAGCCTTCTCCTCCTCCTTCCTCTTCACGATTCTTGGGTCTCTTTTATAAGCATTATCAACTAGCATGCGCACCCTTGCATATTCCTCCTTCCTTGCCTTTTCAGACAGCTTTGCATTTTGCCTTTCCATCCATCTTTTATGATCGCGAGACTCAGCTTGTTCAAGGTCAAACTCATCGTCATGTGGAAACTCCCTCCAGGTTTTAAAACTATACCAAAAGTCATAAAAGCTATCCACTTCTTTAAATGGGGTGTTCTCATTTCCCAAGGAAGGAACTGGTTGGTTAACAGACCAGCGGCCGTTCCTGAAAAATGCGGGTCCAAAAACCTTGTAGAAATCCTGAGGGGCACAATCTGTTGGGATTTCATCATCGAACTCATCAGTGGAGTCAAAAATTCTTCTTCTAGTTGGGTCAATCAAAACTTCATATGCTTCTTGGATTGCTTTGAAATGGGTCTCTATTTCTTCCTTCTTCACCTCCTTTGCAGCCTCTGTTTCTTCAGCAAGAAGAAGAGCAGCCTGCTTGTCAGGGTGATGCTTCAATGCAGCTTCACGGTAGCTCTTCCTTATTTGATCCTCAGTAGCAAGATATCTCAAATGGCCCAACCCCAGCAATGCATAATGATCCTGCTGTTTTGCATCGCCAGAAGATTTCTTTTTACTCTTACTACTGTAAGATTCAGAAGAATACATATGAGCATGTTCCTTATCCACAGGCACGTCCTGCTTTTCATCTTCAAGGATTTCCTCCTCGAGGTAACCCGTCAGCCTAAGTGCAGCAGAGTGAAAAGAATGACCAGCAGGCTCAAATCTGTGAGCTTTAATTGGTAAGCAGTTTGAGGAAATGTAGATTGGCTCTCCATTTATGATTTCTTCCTCATATGTTAGGAGAAGCAAAGTATCCCTGGTGCCCATTAAGTTCCAATGAAGAAAAACAAAACACCCTAAACCCGTGGACGATAAGTGTCAGTAAACCTAGCAGCAGCTTCAACTGAAGGAGACTTCAAAAAGCAGCTTCAGAAAACCCGAATCTATGAAAAATCATCAATCAAGATGGGAGGTGAAAATGTTAAGTTCGAATATGGGAAGAAGTCCTAAGGGTGGGATACTGATGCATCATGCAAACATCTATTATAAAGATCAAAATCACAATGCCCATAGGAGAGAGTCATCAGTACATTAAAGCGTCAAGACTTATGCAAATCCTTCAGTATGATCTTTGGGGTACACCATGTCAATATCTCAAGAAGGAATAACCTTCTATATCACTAACTAAGGTGCACTAAACAAACATCGATTAACATTGGTACAAAACATGAAATAAATCCCCAAAAATATGATTATTTTCAGAAAAGAGAGTAAAACAAAAATGATATGTTTTGAAATTGTACCAAGCTCGTAACGATTAGAAAACTAAACTCAAAGATAGAAAAGAGTTCGCAGACGAGAGAGAGAGAGAGAGAGAGAGAGAGAGAGCAAACGTAATAGTCACCTCTTCTTTCACCATCAAAGTAGGGCTTTGATTCTAATTGGTGATCCTCGAGCATAAAGATTCACAGGGAGGAATGAGATGGCTCAGTTCTGTGATCCAGGAGGGGGTTGCCGCCGCTTAAAATGGCGGAGCTTAGTCTGCTGCTAGGGTTTTATTCAGTTGTGCCGAGTTATTAAAACTTAGAAGGACGTGAAAGCTAAGTGCGCTGTGGCTAGGAGAAGGAAAGAATCATAAGGGTAAATTTCCGTTTCAGAAAGCTGAATTTATACGGAACCTACTCGATGTCCCTGATTCGTGGAACGTGTTAATGCAATTGGGCCTTTAAAAGCTAAGCCCGACTTTATAAGAGCATTAGAGATCTCTTTGCAATAGTTTAAAAAAAGCATTTCTCCCCACAACTCTATTTTGGTTTAGAAAATCTAAGTGTTTTCAAGTGACAAATTCTAATTTTTTTGAAAATCCAATAACTTTATTAATGATCACCACAATTCAAAGTATGGATAATACAAAGTGGAGGATTCTCCAACCAAGTATCGACAGACCCTTAATAGGCTTCTCTTGCAAGAATATGAGCAGTCTGATTCGTTGTACGGTGCACATACTGGACATTTATATTGGTAAATTCTACCATCATATGTCTAATATCTCTATAAATAATATCATTATAGTGTATGCCATCTCCTTGAGTAAGCCCGTGGACAATATGCTAAGCATCGGATTCCACTATAACCCGATTCCAACCCTGTTTCATAGCCCACTTAATAGCTTCCTCAATTGCCAAAGCTTCTGTCGTTCTGTGTGTAAACCGCCCCCTCCTCCTTACGCTTTTCCCTGCTATGAACTTCCCATTACTGTTCCGCACAATGAGACTCAGACCTCTTACATCTCTTGCGCTAGAAACAGCGGCATCACCATTGATCTTCACAAAACCTCTCTCCGGTGGCTGTCATGTAACAACCTCCTTTACCGAGGTCTTCTTTTGAGGATTAGGGAGCTCTGTCGTCTGCCATCCGTCTAACACAGCCTCTCCGCAAATAATTACTCCTTTCCAACTCGGGTTTAAATTATTCCAAGTATTTTCATTGCGAGCTTTCCATAAGCTCCAACATAACATAGCAAACTGGCCGAACTCTTCCTTCGTGCTACTCTCTGCCACCGAGTATGCCCAATCTCCAAAACTCAGAGCTGCGGCATACCAGAATCTCCGGCCCCTGTTGCGCCACACAGCCCTCGCTAATGTGCAATCTCGAAAGATGTGCAACGAGCTCTCCTCCTCATGCCCGCAAATCAGGCACTTCGGCCACAACGGGACTCGCCATTGAATTAATCGTTGTTTGGTAGGTAAACAATCCACACAAGCTTGCCAAAAATTAGTTTTACCTTCGGTGGTATCTCAAGTTTCCAAATTTTCGCCCAGTCCACCTCCAGTTGTACACTTCTATTGAGTCTTTTATAACAACTCCGAACTGAATAAACTACCTTAGTATCATCCGCCCAAATCAGTTCATCCTCCATCTGTCTCGGTCGCAAAGGATACTAGCAATAGGATTTTATCTTCCTCTAAAAAAAGATCCTCCAATAAGTCGAAATCCCAACTCGTGCCATCATTGAGCATAAGAGAATTAACATAAATATTTTCCAACCCGGCTATTTCATTCTCGGCCGGCCTGCACCCTCCAGTGTCATATAGCCAATTATCTTTCCATACTCTTGCTGAATTCCCATTGCCAATTCGGAAACAAAGCCCTTCTCTAACCGCCGGGATAGCTGCCACGATGCTTCGCCGAATAAGGGATGGATTATGTCCACACCTTGCTTCCAAGATATTACCGTGGGTAAAGTATTTTGCTTTTAAAAGCTTAGCCACCAACGAATTTGGATATTTTAGGATACGCCATACCTGCTTACCCAACATGGTGATATTAAACTCGCGGAGTTTTCTAAATCCCAAACCTCCTTGTGATTTCGGGATACACAGGTCACCCCATGTTTTCCACCTAATTCCTTTTCCTTTGAAAGCATGCCCTCTCCACCAAAAAGCATTCATAGATTTTTCAATATCACTACATAATTCAGCTGGCAATAAGAACACATTCATGGCATATTGGGGCATAGATTGAACAACCGTTTTAATTAATACTTCTCTCCCAGCTTTAGATAAGAACCTACTATTCCAGCTCTGGATTCTTTGAATAACTTTTTCTTTGATATAGCCAAAAACTTCTTTTTTATTTCTCCCAACCATCGAAGGTAGCCCCAAATACTTGCCCCCATCTCTGTCTTCCCCAACTCCAAAAATATTACATAAATAATCTCTATCATCCCAAGCCACATTTGCACTAAAACGCACACTAGATTTATCAAAATTTATCACCTGACCCAAGATTGATGCATATTGGGCAAGTAACTCTTTGATAATAAAACAGTCCCGCTCATTTGCTCTGCAGAAAAAGAATGGGAAACTGCCGGCACCCCACGAGCCACTCGAATTCCTTGAAGAACTCCCTCTTCTTCTTTCGTTCGTGGCATGGCGCTTATTCCTTCCGCCACCATAATAAACAGATACGATGATAGTGGGTCCCCTTGCCTTAATCCTCGAGAAGGAATAATTGGTCCATAAAGCTCCCCATTAATCTGAATATGATACCGGACCGTCTCCACACACTGCATGATTAAGTTGGTCCATCGTGGACAAAATCCGAAGCACTCCATAACATGCTTTAAAAAACCCCACTCAACTCTGTCGTATGTCTTGCTCATGTCGAGTTTTAGGGCCACATAGCCTTCCTTTCCCTATGTTTTGCGCTTTAGAAAGTGTTGTATTTCAAAACCAACTATAATGTTATCAATTATATATCTACCGGGTATGAAAGCGATTTGATTTTTAGAAATAATTCCGTGTAATAAGCCTTTGAGCCGATTCGCTAAGATCTTCGCAAATATTTTATAAGCAACATTGCATAACGCGGTCGGCCTCCGATCACCCATAGCCACATGATTATCTTTCTTCGGTATCAGCACGATAGTAGTCTCATTATAATCCTCCGGTACCCTCCCTGTGTTAAACAATCTACCACAAAAATCCACCACAGTTGCTCCCACAACATCCCAAAAGGCCTGAAAAAAGCCCGTGTTCAAACCGTCTGGTCCTGGAGCCTTATCCGGGTGCATACTGAACGCCATGGCCCTCACCTCAGTCTCCGTTATGTCGCGTAAAAGGATAGTATTCTGGTTGTCACTAATCACTTTTCGGACATTGTCAAAACCTGAGAGATCCCGACTCCTTTCTGTGGTAAAGAGCTCCTCAAAATAATTAATAACTATATTACTCAGCTCCCCTTGACTTGTCACCCATCTACCCGAATCAGAGTACAGACCCTTCATTAATTTTTTCCACCTCCTTTGCTTGACCGAGTTATGAAAATATTTAGTATTAATGTCTCTCTGTTGTAACCAAAATTCTTCGCCCTCTGTTTCCAGAAAGAATTCTGCTTTTCCAAAAGTTCTAAATAACATACCTTTGCTCTAGCAAATTCGGCCAACCCTGCTGCATCCGTTCGACCTCTGCTACGCTCCATCTGCCTTTTGCAGCCTTCAATACGTCGCTGAAAATCCCGACGAAGATGTTTACCCCATTTGCATAACTCGACTCCACAAAATTGTAGCCTTTCGAGAAGAATTTGATCCTCACATGAGCTCCATGCATGCTCTACCACATTGGGGCATTCTTTCTCCTTTAGCCAATGATTTTCAAACTTGAATCTGGATCTTCTGTGTTTCCCTGCTTTTTGGCTAAACTTCAAAAATAGAGCGAGATGATCATTATTTCTTCCCGAAATAGAGGTAGCTCAAGCCTCACCGAAAATACCCAGCCATCCGTCATTCACAAGAATACGGTCAAGCTTCTCTTCGACCCAATTGTTCCTGCCTCGCCCTCTCTCCCAAGTGAACTGATATCCGTCGAAAGGGAAATTCACTAAACCGCTCCCCCATACGGCATTTCGAAATCCCATAAGCATCCAAGGGGGCTGGGGACATCGTCCTCTCTTCTTGTGTGCATGAAAGATATCATTAAAATATCCAAGAACCGCCCATGGGATATTGTTCGCCGTGGCTAGATTTTGTAATAGCTCCCACGACTCCTTCCGCTGTTGGCGTTCAGGGAAGCCATAGAACCATGTCAATCTCCATGGTAGGTTTTGAGACTCCATCGTAATTACGGCACCTATAAAGTTATGTGAGGCAACCTTTATATCCACTATTACCTCATTCTTCCATAATAGAGCCAGCCCTCCACTTCGCCTGTCACATGCCACACAAAACCACTTTTCAAAGCCAATCGATTTACCAATTTGACTGATACGGTCACTTCCGCATAGGGTTTCCATAAGGAAAATTATCGACGGATGGTATGTCGACGTAATATCTTGGAGAACCTAGACTGTGGCAAGATTCCCCAAGCCCCGACAATTCCAGCTGACGCAGCCCATTTCAGAATGAAATACAAAACTCTCTCGACCAGGTTGAAAACCGGCGAGGACGAAAACCTTCCCCACACATGAGGGAGACAAAAGAACTCCGGAAGAAAACTCCGGGACAGAACTCTAACAAACTGACCTGATGACGTCGAGTCACGTACTAAATCCGCCGCCGCAGAATCTGCTTAGAACCATCGCCGCCGTAGGGTTTCATTATGGCCGTCGTAGGGTTTCTGGTGCGTGATGCCTTAACCCAACTTAAGCCTCCCAGCAACTCCCAATTCTACTTAAAAAGTACTTCCAAACTTTCGGGTGAAAAGTGCTTTTTACTTTTTCTATTACACAAAAAACATTTATTTTACTAAACATTACCAACTTTTACTTTTCAAAATCATTTTTTCTCAAACACTATCAACTTTTACTATTAATCACTTTTTCCATAATCACTTCAAAATGGCATTCGCGTTCGAGGCTAGCAAGGGACCTCCGACTGTGGCGGCTCATCGAAGTGTGGCGGTAGCGAACTCGCCAAAGGGCGGTGGCGGTGATCTTGCTGGAGAGAGGCAGAGGCATCACCGATATTGGCATTACGTCTAGAGAAAGCTTTTTTACTTTTTGTTTGAAATTATTATTATTTGAACCTCGAACTTCATTTAGGGTAATTTTATCAAGTTAGTTGATAGAGTATATAGACTTGGATCCCCGGGTCTCACGACTATTGGGCCCGGCCAGCGGCCCACACACGCTTATCGAATGTCATTCATATTATTGTACATTATTATTCAGATGTTCTAGA